GATTCAAATTGATGTTAAAGACTGTACAGAAGCTTCAAAAAAATTATTTTAATCTAAAATTTCCCATAGAATTGACAAAAATGTCAAGATCGCCATCCTTTCAAAGATCCGATTTGACGAAAAATCTCATGAGCATTTTTTGGGTCAAATATCTGCACATTCTAAAAAGAGGTGAAAGAATGTTCTTGTGTGGAAGAATGTTCGGAAGTTTTAATGATTTTGTCCAATATCTTTTATTGAAGTTGAAAAGGCACTAATGTTAGACAAGAACAAGACACTCTGGGATAAATGGAGATTTTTGAGTTGATTAATATCGAACATTTTAGTTCTGTATATTTAGTGGTCATGGACCTAATTAGAGTTTGTTGGATCAAAACTAATCTGTACGGTAGAAGAAGTAAGTAAAGATAAAAGAGACTTTAGACGATTCTAAATTTCAAATACAAAAAATATCAATCAATTTTATCTCTTAATACGATTTTAAAATATAAAGCAGCAGCATTGACAAAGAAGTAATTCTTTCAGAGGATTTTTAAGTCAAATATAAATTACTTCTCAGAAGAATAAATCTCTAAGCTGGTGATTTTTGATAAATCAGATACTCTTGTACCCTTATAAAACTTGAGTATCTTATTTCCTTTTACCAAATTCCAAAGGGAAAAAAAACCTTGAACTACCAATACGTTTTCAAAACTCTATGTATGCTGCTCTCGCTGTTTCACAATTAATTTTTATTACACTAGACATGAAATAGCAATAGAAATGCTCGAAATGAATGCTCATAATATTATATACAGAGAAGACGTTTTGTGCAAGTGAAGTCAGCCAGAATAAGCGAATAAACACATTTGCTTTCGTAATGCATGCCAAAAATGTGCGGTATAACCATCTGAAATGAGATGTGTAAACTACAACACATTTAAAAGATTTATATTCTGGGTTTTTTGGTAAGCTTCTTCAATCAGCAATATAAATTTCTTTAAATGCGAAAAAGAAGACTGTAGAGCGGAAAAAAAAGTTACAAGATATATGTTTAGTGAGACATAAGATACATGCTTCATTCAGAGAGTGTAGTAAAATAATTATCTCAAGATTTCTTCCTTAAAACAAACAATACATTAGTGCTAATGTTTAAGGCAGTACAAAAATTAATTTCAGCTCTCTTGGGGTCGTTATTAAATGACGTTCAATAAAAAGTTGTAAAGGTTTAGAGATTGAGATATACTCAAACACAACTTTTAAACAGTTTCTTTCAGAGTTTTCTTATTATTTGTTAAGTCAGTTGCTTTAATTTACGATACTTTTGTGTGTTTACATGTCCCTGTCGGTGGCACTTCACAGATTTTTGGATGTTGCATCCCGATTGAATCCGTTTTTTGTACTTTTAAACTTTCATTCTCAACATGTATGTAACTGACAACATTTGTGAACGTAAATAAAATTGGTACTTGACTTAAAATTGTCTACATTCACTGACTTGATTCTCTTCCCATCTTAAAGTCATTTATAATATTAAAGACATGGAAGTGAGTGTTATTGAATGAAATGGATCTCTTCCATAATTTATTATGCGCAAGAATTCGATCTATGAAAAGAATGTCAATACCGTTTATTCTTCTTATTCTTATTGCCATAGAAACTTTTTGAATTTTTTACTCCATCCTCTTTATGAACAATTTCATTCAAATAGTTTTTCCGATACTTACAAGAATGCCATTAAAAATAAAATTTATTATTTTTTAATATAGAATAAATATATAATTTATGGGAAAAATCTGTTTGGATTTGACACAATTAAGTTTTTTTTCCCACAATGCTCTCCATCTGTATTCGAAATATTGGATACACATTCAAAGTTCAGACTAACTGAAATTAATCATCACTTTATAAAAAGGAGCAATTTTCACATTTTTTTTTCTTCCCCCTTCGCCTGCCTTTTAGCATAATCTAATTTATTTTTGACCATAATATAATTGAGTGTCCATTATGCTGAACGGCAACCTCACTTCATTTCTATTTTCATTGTATAAATAGGATAGAATGAGGAGAAGGAGGGGTGGGTATTAAAAAGGCACAAGAAATTCTGATGCGTGATAAATTCAAATTTTCGAATCATCTTTAGAAGCATTTAAGTGGAAATTTATAAAGCATTTAAAGCTACGTGATGACTTGAATTTCTCATAGAGCTACTTAGTCATGCAGTAAAAAGTGAAAAAGCTTTTTTTATGTTTCTCATTCCCTTTTCTCTCGTCTCTTGTTGACAAACAAGTAAGTAATCATACACTTTTTGAAAAAAAAAGTATCATTTGTCTTCATTAACATTGCTTTATATTATAGGATGTAACATGAAAGAAATCTTATCCATGTTTTTTGTCTTCTCACTTTTCTTCTTCCTTTCAACTTTCATGAAAGATTAAGAAGTCATCAGGAATTCCGGTAAAAACCTTTTTACTTAATGAAAAAGAACTTGGAACTCAACAGTTGAAACAGAAGCAAAAAAAAAATAATAAGGAAAAGAAAAGTGAAGAGTCATGACTGTTATGAACTTCCACTTTAACGCAACTCTTAGATATCTGTCTAATGAGTATAAGTATTTACAAGGAATTCTCAGCTTAAGTGAATCAAATTTTTGGAAATAAGGTTTTTAAATTCTTGAAATTGCTTTCGTTAAGTGTTTTAAGCCTTAATTCCAGCTAAAAGCTTGTCTGCTAAATTTTATGGAACATCATTTCCGAGAAGGCATTCAGTTATATTTAAAGAACACAATATGATTGCAAAATCTATGTTTAATATCTTGGTCGGAAAATCAATAAGTTTAGATGCTTTTTAGCCTTTTCTTAAAACAAACAGCACCCCAAATTCTGTGTGGAAGTTAAGTTAGACTTTTAAACATTCTACAACACTCCTCTGCCATTCCTCTTGACAATGATGCTATACATTGAATGTCACTGATACCTATTGCATAATAATAATTACGAGATCACTTTGCTCAATTTCAAACAGCTGCGATCGCTCCCCGTCGTACATATTTTCTATAATACTGCCACGAATGTGAAAAATTCTTCCTTTTATTGTGAAATAAAATTTTACGGTCTCGTTCCCTCAAAAAAAATGTATAAGCAAACAAGTGAGGTCGTATATTGTCGTTGAATGTGAAATGTATGATGGGAAAATTATTCTGCCTAGAATCTTAAATCAAACTGATAAAACAAAATATTTTTGCTGCTGTTGTTGTTTTCGTCGACGTTACTTCCTATCGTCAGTAAAGGAAAGAGGAAATAAATTTATGCATGAAGGTATGCCTACGCTAGCAATTCATCCATCTATCTTGACATTTTTTCATGAAATCGAGATACTTTATCACAAATTTATGTATTTATTAGTGTTAAATAAATGCACATATTTTATCCGTGAAGTTATCGTACTTTAACAGGTGCTGGAAAAAGTCAACATCAAGCTTTTCGTGTATGTTTGCTAAACATGTCCAATATTACAGTTCAAACAACATTTGGTCTCCGATCAAGCGATTCAATTAAGTTTCGATGGGATATCATGATAATTATTCTTTATTTCCCTTCCATTCTCGATACATTGTTTTAGTCGTTTTTATCTACAGACCGCACTTATTTGATATTTATATTAAACAAGTAAACTTTTTCTTCCTCTAGACATTAATCTTTCTACTATATTCTCATGCATGGATACATAGCAAAGTGCTCCATACATTTCAATTTATGTTAGAGAAATATTTTTATCATTTTTTATATGGAACTTTATGTATATGAATGCATGAGATAAGATAATACGGCACTTTTATATGCGCATGTGCTTCTATACTATCAAATATCAAACACATCGCATCGTAAAATTTTGATAGTAATTTTTTTTCTCATCTGAGAGTAAATAATGAAAAAAAAACAGCATCAGCATCCATGTGCGCGCAAAAAAGTGCATACATAATTTTCTGAGAGTTCACATTTTACTATGTGCGTATTGGTAACGAGTGCCATGAGAGTAAGAGCATAAGCTTTTTTATGTTCTGCTTTATGCTTACTTGAAAAAGCTCTCATGTGGATAGTCTCTCTCGCATGTTGTCTGTTATACATTTTTTTTCTTTCTTGTTTTTTTGTACATCTTCATACAGCCTCAGGGACTCGTTTTTATTTCCGGAAAATATCTCGTGTTGGTTCGAAAGTTTTTTAGTTTTTTTTTTTTTGCTGACTTTATAAAATACACAAAAAATAAACTTTTCCTTTTCCTTACAAGGTTTTTATTCTTATCGGCTGGTGAAAGAGTTGTGTGTGCTCACACAAAAAAAAAAGAAGTGAATAATCGCTGATTCTATTTATTTTTCATTCTTATTCTCTTCTGCTTCTCATCTGCCATCCATAAAAAAAATAAATAAATATCTTTCATGGACTAGAAAATTCATTCAGTGTTATTTTGACTGAGTATGAAAAAAGTGGTGTGTACACACATATTCTGTGTATCCAATAAAAAAGTTGAGTTTGCCATTCATGTAGTGCAGAGTACAGTTTTTGAGTAGAAGGAAAAATGTGTAGTGTACGCGAGTTCAACATATATATCTCATGTGTCAATGGATAATCTATGTCTCTGATGCAATATAAACATTTATATATGTGTAAAGGCTGTATGGTGTACTATATTACATAATAGAGATAATAAAATTATTTATAGTCATATCTCTATACGAAATATTGAATTGTATTATAAGCTAACGTATGGGTTATAGTCATAAGAATGGTAAATTTATATTAGAAATGACAGTCCGTAATACATTCTCATTTCTCATTTAAATAATCTGACAATAAATTTCCTCGAAAATGCAAAAATAATTTCTATATGTCTAGCATTTATCAGTATTATCAGTGGAATGTTAAGGTCAAATTATTTCAATTCACCTCATCGTCTCTCTTCTTTCTTTACAGATTATTATGTAGCATCACAACAACAAAATAAAACTATGTAGTAAAATGATGATGGTGTGAACAACAGGATGATATGAATGGAACTAATGTGCATAAAACGTAGACATGAAAATGGGTGGATGTGGCCTTTTGAAGGCTATAGCCCTATACTTGTTGTTCACGTATGCAATCAGAGGTGAGTGAACTCTCATTGCAATTCATCCTCACTACCATTCATTTGCAAATTAATCGAAAAATTTTATGTATTGTATATTGTATTTTCTCTTTCTTACTCACATACACACATGCTCACTCACATCATTGTACAATATGCGTAAAAATTAACATATAGATGTAGCTTTACTAGATTTGCAAGGCCCAATTTTTGTTCATGAACCACCACATAAGATAGAATTTTCTAACAATACAGGCGGACACATTCATTGCTCTGGACACGCAAATCCGTATCCTGAGGTAATTTTTTAAAATGCCAATTTTTATATTTTCTTTATGCGAATTACAGTTTGCAAATGACAGTTTGCAAATGACATGAAATTAGATATGATTTTTTAATTTTGATCATTATTTTTTATGTCGATACATTATCCCTTTTTTTTCTTCTTCTTCGGATTGTTATCCATGCGAGAGCAGGAAAACAATGTGGTTTATTGTAAATTTTTCAGTCATTCACAAAATTAATATTGATTTTCTTGTGCATCCGTAAACCGACCACCTATATTTCCAATAATAAAATAAACAGAAAAAAAATCTAAACGAATTACAAAATAAGCCCACAAAATTGCTTCCATTCAAATAAAATTATTTTTTTATTCTGCGGTAAAATAAAACAAAACCCTTGAAAAAGGTCTTTGATAAAGGCAATGGTACGAGCGAAAGGATAACAGAAATTCTAATAAGCTTAAAAATCAATGACTTCAGCGCATTTTTGAGAAATTGAAATCTTTTTGTGAGGGTTTCGGGAAATTTAAAGCTTTTAAGAATAATTGAATTTCTTAAACAATTGAAATTTTCTGATTAATATGAGTTTAAGACTCAATTTGAGGTATTTTTTGCAGTTAAACAGAATACTTTTATCCACGAAATTATAATTAAGAGAATAAGACACTGCAGTTTTGTGTAGCACAATAATACTGTATGGTGTCTGAGCAGAATGGAATTTGAACCTTATGTAAGTGCGTTTTTCAGTGCAACCATTGTGAGGACTTGTGTTTCAAAGACTGATCTTTCAATTTGATTGAATTTTTTTGATATGACAAGGATTTACATAAAGCTAATGACATGGAAAAGAGATAGATGAGATCTTCAATTCAATTGATCTCTATCATGCTCGAAAAAGAATATTTAATGAAGGCATTGATTTTTAAAAAAAATTATCTTTAGACTGAGTTGCTTCTTCGTCACAAATGTTTCTAGACCTTTTGCACCCAAAAATCAAAGTTGCCATAATTAGTGAATCATTGGACAATGGACTTTTGGGACAACGATCCTCAATATGAATATTCCCAATTATTAGCTCCAATAACTTCCAATTTGAAATAATAATAAGAGAAAAGAATGGAAAACTTAGGATAAATATTGAGTCAAGAAATATTAAACAGCAGTGCCAACAGTTTTACACAAAAAACCTTAATTGCCATTTATCTACCGAATCTTCTCAGAAAGAAACTTTTTATTTTGCCAAAGATAACAAACCGAACTAATTCAACCGACAAAATAAGGATAACGACTTCTTATTGAAGAAATTGAACTTGAAAGAAAGAAGAAAAGGAAAACAATTTCTAAGTTTACCATCTGATTGCTATGCTTTCTCGAAATCCCGGTCCCGACAAATTTTCGGGATCGGGATCGGGATTGAAATTTTTCGGGATTTCCCGGGAAATCCCGGGAATCCCGAATATGTAAAAAAATTTAAAAAACAGCATTTTTCTGCTTTTTTTTCCAAAAAAAATTGTATATTTTTTTGCTACTTATACGGTCATTTATTCCTTAATTAATTAGTTATAATTTATGTGTTACAAGGTAGATGTTTTAATCCATGTTTCCTTTGAAAAATGTGAACATAAACAAAAATAGAAAATAAATGTTGATAAAGATGTAAGTTTAAAGGTTATTGAAAACGGTGTGAATATAATAATAAAAATTAAGCATTAATGAAAAAACTTTTAACAAATGCAATTGCATTTAGATTCTTGTCAAGTAAACGTTTTCTTTGTTTTGTAAGAATGTTGTTACTAATAGAGAAATTTCGTTCGCTTTGAGTTGAGGTCGGCTGCATTGTTATCAATGCATCGTAAAGTTGATCTAACAAAACGGTTCTCTTCTTATTTTTGTCATACCAATTAAACTCTCTTTTCAAGTTATTTGGTTCTGTTGCTGCTGCATCTGTTGTTAATGATGTATATTCAGATATGCTTAGTTTCAGTCTATCTCGAATAGAAATGTTTGACGGTTGGATTTGATTTGCACTGGATGTTGAAGCTTCCATAGCTCCATTTGTAGAGTTTTTGACAAAATACTTTTTCAATAAGTCAATGCCAAGTTTATGTATTGCAGCTTTTGTTGACGATTTAAAATGCTTGTCTAAAGAAATATATTGAGGTAAAGTATTAAGTCAATTAATGTTCCATTTCTTCGTGCACCTATGCGAGCGCAATTCATATCGTAAACCTTTTGAGACAATAATGTTCCTTGTAGCAACAATTCGTCTAGCAAAAAGTTAATTGTTCCTTCAGCAATTAATAAATCGTCTGATTTACGCAATAATTCTTCTGTCGCGTATTTAGCAGGTTCTAAAACATCAATAATTTCCTAAATTAAAAAACCGGGATTTTCAATCCCGATCCCGATAAATTTCGGGATCCCGGGATTGATCGGGATCGGTAAATCCCGGGAAATCCCGATCCCGATCCCGATAGCGAGAAAGCATACTGATTGCCAATTTGCTGCATAATTTTATGAGTATGTATCCGAATGAGAACTGAGAATTGAAATACAGAATAGGATTGTAAATATAGTCGAAATTTCAAATATCCGAATAAACGTGTACAATGGCATACTATATAGGAACAATGAAGGCTTCATAAGTGATTTCGTATGAATAAAGCCTCATATAAAAATAAATGTATAATATATTTATAAATCCATGAAGGTATATGACTGCAATTGTACTTCCAAAGTTCGCATAACAATCATCATGGTACGGAAGGAAAATTTCAATCAAAAAAAAATAAATTTTTTTCTTCTCTGATATGTATTGCAGGTTGAATGGACACCGCCTGTTCATAGTCATGATTTGGTGAAAATTTATTCGAATGGTACTCTCGTATTTCATCCTTTTGCTGTTGAAAAATATCGCCACGAAATACATGCTTCAGTATATAGGTAAAAAAAAAAAATAATAATAATGTCAGATAATACAAATTTCTCAATTTTCCCATCCTCAATGTTCTTGCTTGCCAAGTCGAGCATGAAAAAAAAAATGAAAATACCTCCTTACTTGATTAAATTCAATTATTCCCAAGTTGTAGAATTTTTCATTCCTTTATTCTTTCACATTTTATGAGAAATTGTGCTCAAATTAAATTTATAAATTATTCTAATGCATGAAAATGAGGAGGAATTCCATTTATCTATGATACGAGAGTTGCAAAAAAAAGAAAGAAACTGAAACGATCTCAAATGATGCGATAAAAATTTTCCTCTTATGTATCAACAGGTGCAAATTGAAGAATTTAGTAGGAGTAATTTTAAGTAGAGAAGTTCATGTTAAAGCAGGTAAATATTATTTTATGCTTGAATAACGATATGAATAATGTTATGGTATTAATAACCTATTTTTTCAATCCATTTAGTTATTGATCAAAAATACACGGTTCAGGTGCATGACGAATATGTAATTTTGGGAAATACTGCTGTCTTAAAATGCCAAGTGCCAAGTTATGTGTCTGATTATGTTGTTGTAACTGCTTGGATCTTAAATACTGGAGTTCATTTATATCCGAATACGGATATTGGAGGAAAATATAATGTAATTTCAAATGGTGATTTATATATAACGAATGTAGGTCCAAATGATGCTCACACGACATTCTTATGTCGAACAACGCATCGTCTAACTGGCGAGATACAACAAAGTACATATCCATCTAGAATTATAGTAACAGGTATGTTTATGTTACAAAAGAATGAAAAAACATGCAATCATACATCATTTGTCATTCACTGACACGATTTTTTTTTATGTGTTGCTTTTTTTCTTGTCGTCATCATATGCAGAACCTAAAGGTTATGTACAACCACGTATAAATGTAGAAAAACAGACAACAAAACATGCAAATGTCAATGGACAAATTGTTCTATCTTGTATAGCGCAAGCAAATCCACCACCTAGTTACAAATGGTTCAAAGAAATCAATGACCAACTCCTGCCACTCGCATTGAATGAACGAATTTATGTCATAAGTGATGGACTATTAAAAATATCTAAAGTAAAATTGGAAGATAGCGGAAAATATTTGTGCTTTGTAAATAATAGTGCAGGCGAAGAGACAATTCAAATTTCCTTAACTGTGACAAATCCACTTTCCGTTCATTTACAACCTCAAGTGCAAACAATTGACGTAGACAAAAACGCTGAGTTTCAATGTATTATAAATGGCTCTCCAATCGATAAAGTGATATGGATGCACAATGGAAAGCCACTTATTAATGACAACCGTATTGAAATCCATTCCGATTCGCGATTGCTTATAAGGAAAATTCAAAAAGAGGTAAAATTATTCAATATGATGTTACTGCTATCAAGATGATGCATTATTAATTGCTTCGACATAGGATCAAGGCATGTATCAGTGTTTCGTATCTAACGAATGGGAACAAGCACAATCCACTGCAGAATTACAGCTCGGAGACGCGACACCGGAGTTAGTTTATTGGTTTTCCGAGCAAACGCTTCAACCGGGTCCATCAGTTTCATTAAAATGTGTTGCCACGGGTCATCCACCACCACAATTCGTATGGAAGTTAGATGGATTTCCAGTAAGTTACATTCATTGTTAAAATATTTTTTGCCTTCTTTGTTTAGCAAATGTTGAATTTTTTATTACAACTGCTTGATTTCAAATTAGATTCCTGACAACTCTCGTTTTCTCGTCGGACAATATGTCACAATACATGATGATGTAATATCTCATGTGAATATATCCAACATAAAGGAAGAAGATGGTGGCGAGTATTCATGTATTGCACAAAACAATATAGGAAAGTAAGTTTCATTCATTAGCAAATATCCAAAAATATAAACATCTCATGAAATATTAATTCTTACACATTTTTTGAATTAAAAAAGGATATCCCATAGCGCACGAGTTAATGTGTATGGTGTACCATTCATTCGAGAAATGCCTAAAATTACAGGCGTGTCAGGTTCCGATTTGAAAGTCCAATGTGCCGTGTCAGGCTTTCCGATTGAATCAATTGTGTGGGAACGTGATGGACAGACATTGCCGATTAATCGAAGACAACGGGTATATAACAATGGAACATTAATTATTGAGCAATTACAACGCTCGGAGGATGCAGGTATGAATTGAAATAAAACAAAATTAAACATTAATTGAGTCTGCTTCTTTTTTCTGCTAAGGCACTAATTATTTTTTTTAAATTGGCGTTCTTTCTTATTGATGCTTGTGTATTTCTCTTTAATCATTAAAGGAACTTATACATGCATGGCACAAAATAAACAGAGTCAGATATCTCGTCGTAATGTCGAAATTCAAGTTCTCGTTCCACCACGAATTATGCCGATTCAATCAATGACAAATATGCTGAGAGAAGGAATGAGGGCGGCTATATCATGTCAAATACTTGAGGGTGACTTGCCAGTGTCATTTCGATGGGAAAGGAATAATAAACAAATTCTTGGGACTGGAAATGAGATTGTTAGAAGACTTGATGAATATTCAACGAGTCTTGTCATTGAAAGAATTTCATCTGAATATTCTGGAAATTATACATGCACGGCTAACAATGTGGCAGGATCTGAAAAATTCACGGTACCCTTAACAGTTAATGTTCCACCAAAATGGATTACTGAACCGAAAGATTTGAATGTACAGGCTGGACAAGATATCTTACTTAATTGTGAGGCAGAAGGTTTTCCTGTACCAACAATAACATGGAAAAAAGCTATTGGAAATACACCCGGGGATTATAAAGATTTTTTATTTGAACCAAACATTATTTTAAAGACGAACGGTTCACTTCTTTTTAAGAAAATCACAAAAACATCACAAAGCTATTATCTATGCGAGGCAAAGAATGGCATTGGAAGTGGAGTTAGTAAGGTGATATTTTTAAAAGTTAATGTTCCGGCACATTTTACAGTGAAAAGTAAACAAGTTTATATTGCAAAGGGGAAGCAAGTGCATCTACAATGTAATGTAGTAGGTGATAATACTATCGATGTAAAATGGAAAGTTCAAACAACGCAACATTATATAGATGATTCAACAGATATTCGATATTCAATAAGAGAACAGACACTGGATGATGGAATGGTCTCAGAATTAGGTATATCACATACATATCGTCAAGATTCAGGCATTTATATTTGTATAGCTAATAATGCATATGGACAAGATGAATTAATGATACAATTAGTTGTACAAGAAGTTCCAGAAGCACCAAAAAATTTACGAATAAATTTACAACAATCAAGAACAATTCAAATTTCATGGAATATACCATTTAGTGGCAATAGTCCAATAGAGGAATATATCGTACAATTTAAGCCTATTTCTGAGAGTTGGCAGAACGCCGAAAAGGTCACAATTGCAGGATCTGATATTCAAGCAACAATCATAAATCTTCGACCCGCTCGAACTTACCATGTACGGTTGAGTGCTGAAAATAAATTTGGATCTTCAGAACATTCAGAAATCATACAAGTAACAACATTGGAAGAAGTCCCAAGTGGTCCACCGACAAATGTTAAGGCCGAGACGAGAAGTTCAACAGAAATTTATGTATCATGGGAAGCACCGGAGAAGGAAATGTGGAATGGAAATTTATTAGGCTATTATGTTGGCTTCCAGTTAGTCCATAATATAAGAAATCGTAACGAAATGACCCCTACTGCGGATTATAATTTCAAAACTGTTGAAGTGCAAGCACATTTCGGCGGAGATATTGTTCTGTCTAATTTACATAAATATTCAACATATAAAATTGTTGTACAAGCATATACAAGCCAAGGCAGTGGACCAACGTGTAAAGAAATTCTTATAAGCACATCTGAGGATGGTGAGAATCATGTCTAATAAATTATATCTTTTATTAATATATATTTCATTTAGTTCCATCGTCTGCACCTGAAAATCCAAAATGTGATGTATTAAGCTCAACATCGATTTATGTGACTTGGTCTCCACCACATGTCGAGAGCCAAAATGGGAAAATTCGTGGCTATAAAATAATATTTGTACCTTCCGAGGACTATTATGATAAGCAGCCACATGTTGCAACAACCACGAATCAATATTATACAATTGAGAATGCAATGAAATTTACAAATTATACAATTAGTGTTTTAGCGTATACATCGGTTGGCGATGGAGTAAAGACCAAAGAATTTTATTGTATAACAAATGAGGACTGTAAGTTACTATTTTTCCATTTTCATTCATTTATGCAGTCATTTCATGCCAACTAATTTATTTTATTTTTATTCTGTCGCAGTACCATCTGCTCCGCAAAGTATTAAGGCAATTCCTTCTTCAAGTTCAAATATTATTGTTTCATGGTTGCCTCCGAAATATAGGAATGGTGATATTGTAAGTAACTTACATTAATCTCCAGAAAATATTCCTAGTCAATTTTATATTCTTCCAGACTGCTTACACATTTTACATGGCCGTAGTTGAAGGTGGTAGGGATGAAGGAATGCACAAAAGAATTTTGCCACCAAATATTGAACAGCACGAAACACGAAGACTCCAAGAGCTGGCAACTTATCAATTTTGGATTACAGCATCCACAAAAACGGGTGAAGGTGAAAAATCGGAAATAGTTGTTGTACAACCAAATAATAAAGTTCCAGCTCGAATTGTCTCTTTTGGTCGCCTTATTGTAACACCATGGAAAGAGGATCTTGCATTGCCATGCAAAAAAGTCGGAGCTCCACTGCCTAGTGTACTATGGCAACAAGATTCTGCACATTTAGAAACAAGTAGTAAGAAGTCTATAGCTAAGAACGGAACCTTATTTATTAAAGACTGTCAACGTGCTGACGAAGCGAATTATACATGTAGTGTCGAGAACACATGGGGAAAGGATCATATAACTTATTCAATTCGTGTCTTTGTACCACCAAATCCACCCTCATTAAGTGTTGTAGATATTTTTTCAGATAGTTTGCTTTTACAATGGTCTGACAATAATAATGGCGGAAGTCCAATTTTAGGTAAGTTTTTTCGATAATTTAAAAAATTATATGCAATTTAATAATCGTTCTTTTTAATCATGAACAATCAGGCTATGTGATAAATTTTAAAAAGGATAGTGGAGATTGGGAAGAGCTTCAAATCGATTCGAAAACAGACTCACATCTTTTGTCTAATTTGTGGTGTGGCACTAAATACCAACTTTATATAACGGCATATAATAAAATTGGAACTGGCTTACCATGCGATATTGTCAATACGCAAACAAAAGGCCTTGTACCCGTACAGCCTAAACACTCTCAAATTATTACAAATAATTCAACTACAGTAACTTGTTGGCTCGATTCATGGGGCGATGGTGGCTGTGGAATTTCTTATTTTGTTATTGAATGTCGAATGTCAGGTCGTTCTCATTGGAATATGATAGCTAGTCATATAGCACCTACTGAAAGGACATACACTGTAACAGATCTTATACCCGCAACTAAATATCAGCTGAAAATTACAGCACACAATAACGCAGGATCAACATCAGCAATTTATGATTTTACTACATTAACAGCTCAAGGATGTAAGATAGACAATAGATTATTAATGACTTAAGAAGATTAATGAACATACGTTTTCATTCCAGTAATTTATAACGTAGATCATAGTTCTATCAAACCTGAAGACACTCTTCTTTCAACCAATCATAGGATAATCATACCTATAGTACTCTCCATTTTAATTTTAATAGGATTAGTTGGAACCGTCCTTATTATCAGAAAAAGAAGTAAGAACGAATCTTTATAGATTATACTAATAACACTGATTTGTAGATTTATTTACAGAATCTGCTGTTCAAACGAGAATGTTATCATCAACATCTGAAACACCATCATTAGGCAATATGATTACTAAAAGTCATCCAGAAACAAGCTATCCTGGCTCCCGTGTTCAGAATAGTAATTTAAGTTATAGTTCAGGAGAATCGAATAAATATAAAATTGATGGAAATGGTAAGTGAATTTATTAATTAGTGTCAATTGAAGAAGCACATCATGTATTATAACTATGTCAACAGAATATATTGAAGACCTTTGTCCCTATGCGACATTTCAACTCAATAAGCAAACATACAGTGAGAGCTCATACAGTGGAAATGTATACAGCGGGCCTTATCATTCTGTTCGTGGATCATTTGTTTATCATGATAATCAGAAAGATAGCTATCGGGTATGAATATGAAGACTTTTTGTCAATAAACGATGTTTAAATATTTCACCTATATTATGCACAATATTTACAGAGCAAAGAACCTGAATACACAAAAGTTCGTCGTTCTGGTTCACGATTAAGAGACTCAGAAAATCAGGATATTCAATTCTTAGAATCCGATAATCCAGGTTCAACTGATTCAGAAGTCAGGAAAATTTTAACTTTACATATTCCAATTACTGAGTATGACACTTTGGGTTCAGAATCTGACAACGAATGTTCAGCAAAATCTGTTAAACAGGCAAAATACAAAGCACAACGAGGTAAATTAAACATTTGATTAAACTTTGTTTAGAATAATAACAATGAAATTCTCAGAAACAGTTGAAGAAACATCTTCATCATCAGAAAATTCACCGTCAAATGTATCACGTAAACATAAGCCAACGTATCCAACTCGAAAGTCAGCAAAAGCTTCTGCAATGATGAAACGTCATGTTAGAAGTTCAAGTGGATATTCAAGTCATAATGAAGAAACGACATTTAGGTATGATACTTAAAATGATTATTTGTTTATCCATAATAAAAATAAATGTATTAATTTCACAGTATATCGAATTATCCCAACACGTACACCGATATTGGTCCACCGAGTAGATTTTCTGATAGACTTACAAACGAAAATGCGAGCGGAGACTCATCATATGAAAAGAAAACCTCAAGTTCACCTCGAATGCGATCAAACCCAAAATTTCATCGTGAAACTTTTCAAATAAACGTTTAAAATATTAAAAAATAAATATTGACTCAAAGACTTTAAAATATAGAGATTTTTAAGAAATCCCATTGACAAAGAAGAATAACAACATGTTCGTTAGCCCGAGTCGTGTATATTTGAGATTGTCGTTGGATTCATTATAATTTTGAAAAGACTAAAACCTGAATTTAAATTAAAACTAAGCTTAATTGACAAATAAAATAATTTTAAAAAAATAAAATGAGTTTAAGTGCGGTTAGGAAGTCTATTTAATTGTTGTCTAAGAATTAGACATTAGAGACTAGTCAATGGAGCTAGAGGAATTCAGATCTTCTGTTTAGGCTGGTTTTTAGGAAAAAACTAATCATACTAGAGAATTTGGATATACTTTACCATAAACAACTTTAAACTCAACATTTTGAGATAAACTTTATTTTAAAGTTTACAATAGTTTGAAAAAATTGTCCAAAGAATCCAAAGTCTATCACATTTTTACACATCTCGGGTTTGGGAACCATTCATTATTATGTTTTCGGTTTGTTATAATCTATATATAGATATTAAGTAAAAAATTGGTTAAAAAATTTATAAGAATTGTTAAAAAAAACCACAAATGAAAGGAAAATTTAAATTACATAATTTTTCAAATTGATGCTAATAAGAAAATTTTTAAAAGTTTTTTTAAGTTATAGTTAATTGATATTTACTTAAGGATATTAATTATTGTTCTGATGACGAGCTATTGAAAAAATGTTTGGAACAAAAATTTAACAAAATTTTGAGCTTTTTAATATGAAAATTTTTGCTCTCAAAAATTGACAGTAACAAAAACAACAACGGAGTTAAAGTCGTAAAAAATTGTATGTGAAAACGATCTTACCATGTATGTAAATAGTTTAGATATATTTTTAATAAACCAATGCCGTGAAATCCATGGGAAAGAATCATAGACTTGAAATTATTAAAAGAACAAAATTTACAAAATGAAATTTCTTGAATAATTCGCAGTTTCTTTAGACAATTTATGGTAATCCATACAAACAGAAATAAATGTTTAATAAAGTCAGAAAATCTTTTTACTTTTTTTTTTCAAATAGGCTCTCCAGATTTTGACTTATGTTTACTCATATTATATACCACCATCACTAATGACGCATGTGCTATATGACGATAATAATAATTGTCTATAAAATTTAATAATGATGAAAAAGTTTTAACAATGACATTTTTATATTAAAATTACTTTTTATATATTTTGAAAGGATAAATAATGATGATAATATGAACATTTTTTGACACCTAAAAGTTTAATTATGAGAAATAATATTGACTGTTTCAGAATAATCAGGCTAATCTCTGACGATTGAAGTCATGTGACTTTTCGAAGATTGACTTTTTTTTATCTTTAAAGGAATTAAAATAAAGTTTCTTGACATTTTCTTTTCTCATACCTGAACTGAACTTGATAGAACATAAACTTAATAGATTAACATTTTTTGTGGTTCTCAAATAAAGTTAAGTAAGTGAACTTTTTCTTTAAACTAAGTTTACGTTATTACCAGACAAAATTGGACATAAGACTGCTTTTGAGTTAATCTTAATAAGACCAAAAAATAAATATCTGAGGATAATAGCCGTGGATATTCATATTCACAAGTTCGTTGATTACTTTTGATTATAGATGTTTCAGCTCTGGTTATTAGATCAACCAGTGAATAGCTGAATACTAAATTTGACTTTCAATTTATTTCTTTGAAAATCGCATCGAATTTCAATCTCAAGAGATCAACTTGAACTTTTTGAAGAGTTTTGATAATAAAATTTAAAGTTAAAATGATTTTTAACCTAAATAGAATAAATCCATTCGTTTGAGTTTCGAGACACAGGTTGAGATAAAAAACTGTATAAAAATTAAATTGTATTTGAGAAAAAACGCAAGAAAAATAAAAAAGAATTAAAAACAAAAAAAAAGAAGAAAACAAAATTTAAACCAAATAAAATAAAGGAAATAGTAAAAGTTTTTTAAGTATTGAGTTATTCAAATTTACAGCAATTTAGCTTCCTTTCTCATTTCGAGTAGACAGTTTCCCATAATCTAAATAAATTCTACCTTAAAAAATGCATATACATTGATAAACAAATCACCACATTTTACAGCATAAGCCGGACATGAATCATAAATTGAATATCTCGGTAAAAATTCTTTGATCATCGAATTGGTAGCCATAAACTTTATATGAATGGAAGAGAAGACGATGATGATGAAGAAGAAGAAGAAGCCAAAAAGGAATAAGAATCATTGGATATTTGAACATTATTTTACCGGCATTTATGTTAGAAATAGAATAAAATATTTGAAATGATCTACAAATACACAGGTACAGGTACAGAGAGTAGGAGAAAACATAAAAAAATAAAAAAAATCACAACGAGTGTATGCATGCATGCCGACGGAACAATAATTTCAAAATGAGATCGTAAAGTCTAAGAGAGGAGGCGTGGCTTGTGAATAAAAGAAGCAAGCAAATTTTGCAATGATCATGATCGAATGTTGCAATCAACAAATTGATTGATGCCATTTGCTATTTTTTGTGATTGTAATCAGCTAATAGCTTTATGCTCCACTTCTTATGGACCAAAATAATTGAAAAACAAAAGGATTGGCACTAAATTAATTCTGTTCTGTTGATGGAACAGCTAACAAGATAATTATCTTATTGTGATAACTATTTGTGAATCACAAGCAGACTCGAAACATCTAAATTTGTTTTGTGTTTATTTTGGTCATTCACAAAAAATAAATTGTGAAGTGTCTTTATGGACTTCAGCATATGTGAATTTTATCAAATTAGTAGTGAATTGGACGGATAATTTTCGCATACTGTAATGAAGATCAAGAGTTGTGGTAGGTCCAGGTAGGTTGAAAAAACAAAGTCTGTTACATTCCCGGGTCAGAAATTTTCCCATGTAGAACATCATAATGAGTTTCTTATCTCAATAATGTATAAATGGAAATATCGTATCGGTAGAAAGATAAAAAGTTCTTTGATGAACTCTTTTGATGATTTAAATGGTGGTTATAAATCGTCGCTTTCTTTGATCCATTGGAAAGATTGGCTGTTGTAAATCAATAAAAAATATACATCGCTGCTTCTTTCAGCAGATACATCACTAATATCTTTTACTGGATTTATAATATATCGGTTCTCTTCAAGAGAAATTATTTTTCAGGGATTCTTCAAACACGAATGAGCAATGTACATTTATAATTTAGTAACATCAGCCCTGAAATGACCACCAGAGTTTCATCATTCGTAATACAGTTTCATTTTTCCTTCATTAACACCTTTAAAAACGATCTTTGTTTGGGATGCTCTGTGCCTTTTGGTACACAGCTTTTTTAAAGATTTTTTTCATAGTCTATGAGTAAAATGATTTAAGAATGTGACTCACCAAAAAATAGGCTGTGGATCTCTTCTATATAGTTGCAACACGAAGATGGGCTCTATATTGTGTAAATAAATCACTCAGGAAGGGAGCAGCGTTGAAGGATCCATGCAACGCTTTTTTCATTTACGTCGCTCGAGACAGGAGATCAGCAAGGCATTAATCAAAAAATTGATAATTTTACATGAAACTTCAGACATTGAACCTGATCCTCATTCTATGTTCCTCCTGGATGACTACATTCTATGAAAATATATAAAATATAAAATTTGAAACTTGAAATTCATCACAACTCTAAAAATCCAACATTACTTCCAAACGATCCCCGATTTGAAAAGCACACTGACGTTCTTCATATTTTTTTCAGTTTGCGTTGAGCTCTTTCCATTCGTTTACGAAGCATTAAATACAATATTTTTTTGTTACCTATAACCAACTATTACTACAGCAAATCCGAGTAAATTTTGTTTTCTTGAAATCTTTTTTTCTCACATCACTCTCTTTTAATGGCTCAGTCAATGATGAAACGTCGATCGTTATTCAATCAATAGTATCTGACAAGTGAATGCAAAGTTTTTTTTTTCTTAGAAAAAGTGATTTAAAATTATGAATATTAGGAATATTTTTTTCAAATCTTTTCTTAGTGACGTGTGATAATTAGAATTTAAAATTTTAAAGATCTAAAAGCATGGCTGATCAACTATCCTGATTTAAAAAAACTTAATACTAAAAGTGAAACCTTAACCCAGTGATTAAAAAAAAATTGGAATAAAAAATAATTTAGAGTAAAGTCAAAGCCGATGAATCAGTGCTTATGAAACATTTATCAATTAGTCTTCATTCATTGTTGATCAAAAAAAAAAAAACTTTTCAATCATAAAAAAAATTGGGCGCTTATAAACAGTTTCCGCAATTAAAAGCCTATCTATTGTGATTCAAAAAGTGTTACAAAAATCAAATATTTAACTTTATAAATTAAATTGGAAGTGAAATTTAGTTCAAGTTCAACAGGTTCCAAGAACTTATTGTTAAAATTGAGGTAATTTGATGATATTTTGTCTTTAAGGAACTTTTAATATTGATATTGCGCAATAAATTATTGGTTGATGAATTTGATGAATTACAATAAAGGATTACGAATGATCATTCTTTGGTCATCAAATTGAAAACTGGAGTATTTTTCTTGAGCTATCAAAATTTTCTTCGCAATATAAACCTAAGACTCTAAATATAACTTAATGTGTACTGTACAATTCAAATTATTTTGATCTGGTTTTACTTTAGCTTCGCTTTGTTAAATTGGCAATTTCTTTAATATCAAAGTGCTAGTTCTGACAAACTTTCATTTTAAAAAATATTGAAAAAGATAGTTTAAATCTAGCACTGCTTGTCTTTTGACACATTCATTATTTAAAGATTAAACCGTTTCCAAAAATTCGTACCTTTAATTAATTTTTAAGAAATACAAACAAAAAATTGTTAATTTTAAAATTTCTGAGTGTTTGATCCATGAAATATGCCTACCATTGTGAATATCCATAAATCATGATTCAT